GGAGGTGGGTAAGATTCGCGCCGAGAGGGGTCCCGAGTGCCGTGTCAGCTCCAGGGCAGCGGCTTTACAGGGGCGAGACGCGCGGGGGGAAGGGAACCCGGGGCAAGAGGACGAGTCCGGCCGGCCCGGCCCCCGCTGAGCGAATACCTCGCCGACCAATCGGGAAGGTTCCTGTTGAGAGAAACGTTGGCACTAGCTAATCAGTGCTTGAGGTCTTCCCGAAGGCGGAACTCGGGCGGGAGGGTGGGACTTCCTGTTTCTCATAAACACCTAGAGGGCCCCCTCCCCCGTCCGCCCACCGAAGTGTGTCCCTCTCTGGAGATCCGTCGCCGTTCTGCTGGAGAGGTCGAGGGGAGCCACGCATGCATAACCGAGGGCCTGGTCGGGGCCCGGATCAGTGGCACAGGCTTGGTCGGAGTCTTAGGGCCACGGGACCCCGTCTGTGCTTCGGGGCCCCAGACCCGCGCTTGGTCCGCCAGAGCCAAGTTGGAAGAAGAGTCTGAGAAGGGCTCGACTCGGGCCGCGGGGGGCAGCCGGGACCCTTCCCGCTGCAGGCGGGTCCCGGGACCTCCCGTTGCCAAGGGTGCAGAAGTGCCCGAGGATTTGCTGGTAGTGGGGGAGTTTGCGGGGAGGCGGCAAGCGACCCGGGGAATGACACTCTCCCCTCCACCGCAGTCCGAGGTTATGCGTCTCAATGATCCCGCGGAAACGCTACGGGTCTAAGAACACGGATCAGGGCGTCTACCTGGGTCTCTCGAAGACACAGGTCCTGTCCCCTGCAACTGCTGGCGGTGACAGCAGCGACATCGCTCCTCTGCCCCCCTCAGTGGCCCCGGTCCCTCCCCCTCCCGACACCATGTCCTGCCGGGATCGGACCCAGGAGTTCCTGTCTGCCTGCAAGTCGCTGCAGAGCCGTCAGGTGAGGACGAGGGGTGAGCCTCCCAATATTTGCGAAATCCGGGAAGTCCGTGTTCTGGCGCTCTTAACTGAAGGGATTCTCGGGGGAGCCTAATGGAACTGGTGGGTTTGGATGGGGCTTGTGGGGTTTGCGCTAAAGTAGTAGAGAGATCGGCAAGCTCAACAGAGGCGGGAACGTTGGCTTTCTCTGAGGACTCCCTGGAGGGTAGGATTGCAGTTCTAGAAGGAACACCTCATAGCCAGAGGTGGCCGCGACGTGTTTGGTTTGAATAGGGAACACATTCTAGAAAGAGCCTTTAGGTGAGAGACACGCACTCGGAACTCTAGTTGGAGTCTAGGTCTTATCATTAAGGTTGCTGTGTGGCCGTGGCTACGTTAGTTCATCTAGTTTGGATCCCAATTGTACAATGAAGGGGATTTTCTAGATGGGTAATTTCTATCAAAGTCACCTTTGAGTGCTTTTTTACAAGTTAGATTCTCCCGTTACATTCCAGACTTTCTGAATCCAAGTGGGACCTGAGTAACTGTATGTTTTATTGTTTCTCCTGTTGTGTCTTGTTAGCAACTGCTCTTCTCTATGGTCTCCAAGAGCATTGCAGCTATCCCTAATCCCTTGGTTCGGGGAGTAGAAGGACAATACCAGCTACCGTTTATTTAGGTACCAGGTAGTTAGCTAAACTATACAGCCCTTATGTACTTATTACACAGCACCATAGAAGCTGAGTGGATCGTCTTTACAGAAAAGGAGATGGAGGCCGGACATGGTGGCTCACGTCTGTGATCCTAGTACTCTGGGAGCTGGAGGCGAGAGGCTTGCCTGAGCTCAGGGGTTGGAGACCAGCCTGGGCGACTTGGCTAGACCTCGTTTCTAGAATAAATCAAAAATTAGCTGAGCCTGGTGGCACGTGCCTGTGGTTTCAGCTACTCAGAAGGCTGAGGGCAGAAGGATCACCTGAGCCCAGCAGGTCAAGCCTGCGGTGGCTGCGAGCATGCCGTTGCGCTCCAGCCTGGGTGACAGCCTCTGACTCAAAAAAAAAAAAAAGGGAGATATAGATTCAGAATGTTGAAGTTTCTTGTCCCCAAGTCCCCAGCTTGTAAGTGGTGGAGTCAAGATTTGAACTCAGGTCTACCTGTCTTCAAACCTGGACTCTAAACTAGTACCACTGAAAAATGTGGATCATCTGATGGTAGACACTGCCAATATTAGAGAGAGTTCAGTAGACAGCTGAGGAAGAGTGAAAGCTGGAAATGGGGAGAGGGGAACCAAAGTTGTCACCTCCTAACATTCCTTTTCAGAATGGGATCCAGACAAATAAGCCGGCTCTGCGTGCTGTCCGACAGCGCAGCGAATTCACCCTCATGGCTAAGTGAGTTCAGAGAGGCTTTCTGGTGGGGTACTATGTTTTCTGAGGAGTAGGCTTGCCTTCGGTCTATGAGCGCCGGGATGGGTCGTGCTGGAGCTAATGTGGGAAAAGACCCTCTCCTGCCCTTCCCCACGCTGTTCTCTCTAATGAACATTTGCAGGCGCATTGGGAAAGACCTCAGCAACACATTTGCCAAGCTGGAGAAGCTGACGATCTGTGAGTGTTCTCGGGTCTTTCAGAGCTGGGGCAGTAAGCCAAACAGGGTTGTGGAGCTGCACTCCCTGAATCTTGTCTTTGAACCTCACCTGTCGTGGCTTTTCATTTGTCTCTGTAGTGGCAAAGCGCAAGTCCCTCTTTGATGATAAAGCAGTGGAAATTGAGGAGCTAACGTATATTATCAAACAGGTGAGCTACTAGCTGTAAGGAGAGCCCACCCTTCTGGTCAGATCGCTTCTATCATTTTCATTGCCTGAAGGCCCAGAGCCAGCTTTCAGAGCCAGCCCCAAATCCTGTTCTGCTTTGAATCAGTAAGCACTTACTGATCATCTGCCGTGTGCAAAGCACCCAGCTGGGCACTGGTAACACAAACATGAGGTAAGATTTTGCCTTCCAGGGCTTCTCGTCTAGAACAGTGATCCTCACCTTTTTGGCATCAGGGACCAGTTTTGTGGAAGATAATCTTTCAAGGACGCCCGGAGGGGGTCGGTATGGGAGTTGGGAGGTAGGGAACATCAGACAATAGATTCTCAAAAGGAGGACAGAACCTAGAAGATCCCTCACATGTGCAGATCACAATAGGGTTCGTGCTCCTATGAGAATCTGATGTCATGGTTGATGTGATAGGAAGCGGGTTCCACTCACCCACCACTCACCTCCTGCTCTGTTGCCTGATCCCTAACAGCCCACTTATCAGTACTACTCTGCAACTTGGGAGAGGCGGATCTCTGGTCTAGACGTGCTATCTAGCTCTATAAACTCATACTTACTTTATTTTTTTTTATTTTATTTTTGAGTTGGAGTCTCACTCTATCGCCCAGGCTGGAGTGTAGTGGCACACTCACATCTACCACAGCGTCAGTCTGCTGGGCTATGGCGATCTTTCTGCCTCAGCCTTCTAAATATTCAGAACTACAGGCGCACAGTACCATGTCCAGCTCATTTTTTAAAAATTTATTATAGGGAGGAGGCCTGCCAAGTTACCCAAGCTGATCTCGAACCCATGGACTCAGGCCATCCACCAGCCTCAGCCTCCCGAAGTGCTGGGATTATAGACTGAGCCACCGAGCCCGGCCTATTTTATTGTATTTTTTTGTAATTTTTATTTTATTTTATTTTTTATGTTATTTTTATTTTATTTATTTATTTATTTATTTTTATTTAGTTTTTTTTTTTTTGAGTTGGAGTTTCACTCCGTCGCCCAGACTGGAGTGCAGTGGCCACTCCTGGCCACCGCAGCCTCGACCTACTGGGCTCTGGCGATCCTTCCACCTCAGCCTTCCGAGTAGCCAGAATTACAGGCGCACGCTACCACAGCCGGCTGATTTTTGATTTATTGTAGAGATGAGGTCTCGCTGCCCAGGCGGGCCTCGAACCCGCAGGCTCAGGCAATCCACTCACCTCAGCCTCCCAAAGGCGTGGGATTACAGGCTGAGCCACCGAGCCCGGCTTTATTTATTTTTTATTTTTATTTTTTAATTTTTTTGAATTGGAGTCTCACTCTGTCACCCAGACTGGAGTGCAGTGGCCGCTCCCAGCCAACGCAGCCTCAACCTGTTGGGCTCTGGCGATCCTTCTGCTTCAGCCTTCCAGGTAGCCGGAACTACAGGTATACGCTACCATGCCTGGCTAATTTCTTGATTTATTGTAGAGATGAGGTCTCGCCAAGTTGCCCAGGCAGGTCTCGAACCCACGGGCTCAGGCAATCCGCTCACCTCAGCCTCCCAAGGTGCGGGATTACAGGCTGAGCCACCGAGCCCAGCTATTTTAATTTTTTTGAGTTGGAGTCTCACTCTGTCACCTAGACTGGAGTGCAGTGGCTGCTCCCGGCCATTGCAGCCTCGACCTGCTGGGGCTCTGGCAATCCTTCCGCCTAAGCCTTTCAAGTAGCTGGAATTACAGGCGTGCGCTACCACGCCCGGCTAATTTTTTGATCTGTCGTAGAGATGAGGTCTCACCAAGTTGCCCGGGCGTGTCACGAACCCGCGGGCTCAGGTGTTATTTTTATTTTTATTTATTGTTTATTTTTTGAGTAGGAGTCTTGCTGTCACCCAGACTGGAGTGCAGTGACACGCTCCCAGCCACTGCAGGCTTGACCTGCTGGGCTCCAGCAATCCTTCCTCCGTAGCCTTCCAAGTAACTGGAACTACAGGTGTGCGCTACTATGCCCGGATAATTTTTGACTTATTGTAGAGACGAGGTCTTGCTAAGTTGCCCGGGCGGGTCTCGGTCCCGTAGGTTCAGGCAATCCACTTGCCTTGGCCTCCCAAAGTACTGGGATTACAGACTGAGCCACCAAGCCTGGCCTATTTTTATTTTTTTTTATTATAAAGATGTGGAGTACAATTCAGGGTTAGGTATACAATCGTTGATTATACAGGTACTCTTGTTGATGAGGTTTTAGCGGTTTCCCTCAACTGCCAATCCCACCCCACCCTTCCCCTGACAGTTTCCTACTAGGGATTCCCAGTTTGCCCATCCCTTTCTTATAGTATTATAATAATTGTTCAAGGTCCGCTTTTTTTTTTTTTTTTTAAGTTGGAGTCTTACTGCATCACCGAGGCTGGAGAGCTGTGGCACACTCCCGGCCACCCTAGCATCAACCTGCTGGGCACTGGCAATCCTTCCACCTCAGCCTTCTAAGTAGCTGGAACAACAGGCGCGTGCTACCACGCTCAGCTAATTTTTGATTTATTGTAGAGACAAGGTCTTGTCAAGTTGCCTGGCTGGCCTCGAACCCACAGGCTCAGGCAATCCACCCGCCTCGGCCTCCCAAAGTGCTGAGATTACAGGCTGAGCCACCGAGCCTGGCCAAGGTCCGCTTATGAGTGAAAACATAGGGTACTCTGTTCTTTGTTTTTGTGATAGATCACTGGGTATGGTAGACTCTAAATCCATCCAAGTTGCTATGAAGTCCATATGTTTGTCCTTCTTTATGGCTGCATAATATTCCATTGTGTATATATACCACATTTTTTAAATCCAGTCCAGCTTCAGTGGGCAACATGGTGGTTCTATGTTTTTGCTATTGTGAATAGAGCTGCAACAAACATATGTGTGCAGGCATCTTTTTTTTTTTTTTTTTTTTTTTTTT